TGGTGCTGGTAGAACAGACCGTAAAGAAGGAGGCAAATTAACAGATTTGCTAAAGCTCCCTGAGGTCATAAAGCTACGATTTCAAGCATTGGGTACCATTGTTTAAAAATCACTGAAAGCAATGCTGTAAGTGCTGGTGGGGCAACCACAGGATGGACTTTGAATGCTCTAGTATTAGGCACAGAGGTACTTGTGCTTTGGGATAAAATTCCCATTGACAGCATCATACATGGTTTCAAAAAATGCTGCATCTCAAACAAATTGGAAGAAAAGATCATTTGGGTTTTTTTTTTTTTTTTAACATTTTGTTTTGTTCTGTTTTTTGGTGTGGAAGATCAGCCCTGAGCTAACATCCGTTACCAATCTTCTCAATCTTCCTTTTTGCTTGAGGACGATTGTCCCTGAGCTAACATCAGTGCTAATCGTCCTCTGTTTTCTATGTGGGATGCCACCATAGCATGGCTTCATGAGCCATATGTAGCGCTGTGCCTGGGAGCTGAACCTGCAAACCCTGTGCTGCTGAAGTGGAGCTCACGAACTTAACCACTGTACCACTGCCCGCCCAAGATCGTGTGCTCTTATTGTGTTAGATGACTGCAAAAGTCCACGTCAAAAGTGAATTTGAAGTTTGAATAACATTCATGAAACGTGAAGGTAATGGGGGAAAGGCTCCTTTCTTGGCTAATAAGTGAACAAATTTAAAACATGTAACTAATATTAAAGGTATACATTTTACCATCTCATCTACAACCCTAAAAGCTATATATTTAAGTTGGGCAGAAAGATTTTGGGTGGATCTTCACATTGGAAGAAGCATTGTCTGTTCAATTCAATCCCCTTATAGTCAAGCATACATGATATTAAAGTCATACAAATTGACATTAGATAATTCTATTGTCAAAAAACCAAGTACCCTAATTTATCTTAATGAACCGTGGTTAAAAAATAGGATTACTACCTCATGGGTGGCTTATGGAACTAATGTGCTGATTTAGAAGCAGTTACGATTATATTAGTCTGAGATCTAGTATTTTTTTCACGTTAGTTCAAATCTCTTTCAATTAGAATCTTAAGATTCTCCAGCAAAAAAAAAAAAAGTCTGTATTCCCAAAACCTTTTAAAGTACAAAACTTTTAAATAAATGCAAACCATATCTTGGTAAATAATATGTACTACGAAGAAGGAGTGTGGACGGTAGAGAAGACTTTCATCGTAAATTAATGCAATTCTTTTTCAGTAGAAATTTGACTATGTAAAATTAAGAGGCAAATATTTATACCCTTTGACCTTCTAATCATACTTCTGGGTTTTGAAGTAAAGCAATTAAATAGTGGAATGATTACATAATTATGATATTTCGTTCACTGATTATGCAGCTATTTTTAAAGGGTAAATATTGAAACAACATTTTTCTTTCCTTGAACTAACAACTGTTGCCAATCTTTCTTTTTTGTTTTTTTCTTTTTCTGCTTTATCTCCCCAAACCCCTGATACATAGTTGTATATCTTAGTTGCAGGTCCTCCTAGTTGTGGCACATGGGACACCCCCTCAATGTGGCCTGACGAGCCATGCCACGTCCCCACCCAGGATCCGAACCCGTGAAACCCTGGGCCGCCCCAGCAGAGTGCACCAACCTAACCACTCGGCCACAGGGGTCGGCCCCTGAAACTACATTTAAGTTACTTGTAACACATATGAGAGGACTAGATGGGAATATTAAAAAACAGCTAGTGTGTTGGGTGGCAAAAATTGCAAGTGTTTCTTTTTCAAAACTTTTGGCAATGTTGTCTTAGCACTACTTTGATAGTCTGAAAAAAAAGGTTTGACCATCTGATACTATTGTATAAGCATGGGGGGAAAGTACAGATATACACTAGACTGTTAAAATCAGTTACTGATTGGGTTTAAAGGAGAAAACTTTTCATTATATATCTTTCAATTGCTTGAATTCTTAATAGAAACATATTTTTAAATAAAAAAATTTTAAATGTTTTTTGAAAACACTCATGCCCTCACCATAAAATACAATAACAAATTGGCGATCTGGCCTGGGCGAGGTAGAAAATCCTATCAGCATCCACCACCTTCTACAGTAAGTGTCCAAAGCAGCACAAAGTATTCATTGCCCAGAGCCTGTTTCTCGATTTTAAACAGTGCACCTTGGTGGCAGCCATCAGGCTGTGCTGCATGTGGAAGGACACAATGGCACATGACGGCCACGCCACACAGAAACATGGTAGCAGGACTAACAACCACATTGGTGGTCTGTGGAAATCTTCAAGATGAAAAACATCAGAGCAAAGTTAACCTTTGTATTCCTTTTCTTATTTAAAATAAAAACACTACTTTTGTGTTAAACTCACGCTTTCCCCTTCCAAGTAGCTCTTCATATCATTCCCAAATTAGCCATAAAAACCCCTTTCTCCCAACAGAAAGAAAAGCTTTTTATAGTAAAACCTTGAGTCATTTCCTGGCATCCCAAGACGTGGGCCAGATACTGAATGTTTACAGAGAAAGGGTGACTCTAATTTTAGTCTTAATCGGAGTGCGAAGATGTCAGTGAATAACCATCCACGCAATTTGAAGCTTTCATTGTTCTTTTACGCTTCTTTGAGCTTCTCCCAGAGGTGCATTTATAGATTTAGAAAGATTAAGGGAAGCCATTCTAGAAGAAATCCCTCCAAAGGGCCCCAATTACAAGGTCATCTAAGAAACTTGGTGGAAACGCTGGATGACCAGGGTCTAAGGGACAAAGGGTCACTCAAATCAGTTGTGTCTCTCCTTCTCATTGAAGGAAAGAATTTCTGTTCCTTTAAGATAGCTGAGAAAAAATTAGGAGAGCTTAAGAACTGTTTTTCAGGGGCCAGCTTGGTGGCCCAGTGGCATAGTGGTTAAGTTTGTGTGCTCCACTTCAGTGGCCCGGGGTCCACAGGTTCGGATCGCAGGCACAGACCTACAGACCGCTCATCAAGCCATGCCTTGGCAGCACCCTGCCCACAAAACAGAGGAAGATGGGCATAGATGTTAGCTCAGGCCCAATTTTCCTCATCCAAAAAAACAAACTGTTTTTCAAACTGTGAACAGTAAGAAACAAATGAGCTTGGAAACCCAATTATCTACACAAATATTCATAACACCATTATTCATAGTAACTAAAAAGTACAAACAACTTAAACAGCCCTCAACTGACGAACAGGCAAACAAAACGTGTTATATCCATGAACAGAAGACTGTTTAATGGTGAAATGAATGAAGTACTGACACATGCTGCGACATGGACCATCCTTGAAAACATTATGCTTAAAGAAGCCACTCACAGAAGACCACATACTGTATGCTTCCACTTAGGTGGAATGTCCAGAATAGTAAATCCATAGACACGGAAACTAGATAAGTGGTTGTCTGGGGTTAGGAGGGCTAATATGCGGTTTCTTCGTGAGATGTTGAAATGGGCTGAAATTAGATTATAGTGATGGCTGCACAACTCTGTGAATATACTGAGAAATCACTGAACAATAAACTTTAAATGAGTGAATTTTATGGTATGTGAAATATATCTCAGTAAACTTGTAAAAAAAGGAACTCATCACGAGCCGTTTGGTTTTAGAAAATAAAATGCACAAATGTAAGATTATTTCTACTAAGTAGGGAAAAAACAATATCAACATAACTATTGAACAACTCGATTATCAAAAGTTCTCCAGTTAAAAGTTAAACAGATTTTAAATCCAGTTACGTCTCCAAACATATTCACTTTTCTACCTAGCAGTTACAAATTCCAGGTGCATAACATTGTCATTAAGTGCATAGAATCAATAGGTTTTAACCCTTGACAGCTGTTGTCCAATAAACCCAGAGTTTCACTTTCTCGTGATTCCACACACAGCACCTCCTGAGGTAGCTAGGAAAAGTGACTCTGTACATATTTACGCAGTAATTGCTTGAGAGGATTTGGTGTCACTCTTCTGAAGGTTCAATCTAAGAGTGTACAAAAAAAAGCTATAACAAGAAAGTTCTCTCTAAAAAAATGTATTTGGAATTGGTCTAAACTAGGGGGCCATAGCTGGAATAGAATGACCGGTGACACTTCGAGATTCCCATTTCTATTTATTGTCAAAAGGGGTGGAGCCCAGAAGCCTAGATATTTGGACAAGCTCCTCTGGAAGACTGACAAGCTCACTAACAGTAATCAAAATAAGAGAGGTGCTCCCCTTTACTAGTCAGATCATCTCGGACATTCCTAATTTCCTACAGATATATCTTCTTACAGAAAAATAAATTAGAAGTGATCATTTTTGAAGAAGTGTTAAAATCTCTTGAACATTATGATCACGGGATTACTATATCAAGCATTTTCTTTTTTTTTAATTTATTTTTTATTTATTTTTTTTGAGGAAGATTAGCCCTGAGCTAACTACTGCCAGTCCTCCTCTTTTTGCTGAGGAAGCCTGGCCCTGAGCTAACATCATGCCCATCTTCCTCTACTTTATACATGGGACGCCTACTACAGCATGGCGTGCCAAGCGGTGCCGTGTCCGCACCCGGGATCCAAACCAGTGAACCCAGGGCCTCCAAGAGGCAGAACGTGTGCACTTACCGGCTGCGCCACTGGGCTGGCACCCCCTCCCCCCCCCATATCAAGCATTTTCTATGTTCTGATGGGACAGTAAAAAATACTTTTAAATTAGGAGATCATCTTTTTTTTTTTTAAAGATTTTATTTTTTTCCTTCTTCTCCCCAAAGCCCCCCGGTACATAGTTGTATATTTTTCGTTGTGGGTCCTTCTAGTTGTGGCATGTGGGATGCTGCCTCAGCGTGGTTTGATGAGCAGTGCCATGTCCGCGCCCAGGATTCGAACCAACGAAACATTGGGCCACCTACAGCGGAGCACGTGAACCCAACCACTTGACCACGGGGCCAGCTCCTAGGAGATCATCTTTGATAGTCTTCAAAACGTAATCTTTGGTCTCTAGTCAAGAGAATAACCGAGTCTTAAGGGTGTTATTTAAACTAATTTTAATTACATACAAACGTCACATACTTTCACCTTCCCAGAAATGGTGCCTTCATCTTAATTAAGGAAATGAAAACTATTATGACTTAAGTCTTCATTCTGTGATGCATGTGTTTAGACAAGTTTAGGCAAACAGCAAAGATTTAGAATTCCTACCACCGTGCCTACAGCATTTTGAAAATGCTAAAGCCAACTCAATTCTCCATGTGGCAGTTCAATATGGCTGCAAAAATTTAGTCCAATTAGTCCTTCAAGCCCAGATAACTGAGACTTCTTGGGGTATAAACCCTCGGGGTCGTTATGCTTTTCCCTTGACAGCTGTCCAGGATACACGAGCTCTTCCTCTGGTTCCTTCAGTTCGCTTGGGCAATTCTGGTATCAGAACCATGGAAGTTCAACATTGTCGTCACCAGCTCTGGAAGATCAAAATCATGTTTCCACTTCCAGTCCTTCCGAGCATTGCTGTCATCAAGGCTCACTGGCCAGCCATCCGCTAGGAAAAGATACGGAAGAGTAGCCTAAGTTAGTCAGGTTCTAGATTTGCAAAAAGGTCCAGAAGATTTTATATAAGGTCCATCATACAAGGTACCACAAAAGAAAGTCCCTCTTGGAATTGTCCCTCTGAGCAGACCAGAGCAGCTATTACGTGCACACACCCTCTTAGATTAGAAGACTATTACATGTCTACCATCAGGCACTCTGAATTGTCACATACTATTAAAATCTCACGCAAACTTCTAGGGTAGGGATCTTCTACCCAGATGGTGCTCAGGGCCACAGAGCGGCAGGCACAGTCACGGCATTTGAAAACCCAGAATTGTTTTCACATTCTGTTTGTTTTACGTTAAACTGTAAAATGGCGAAATGCTGACAACCTGTTTATTTGGAATGGAACTATTCCACCCACTTTAGATTTCATTTCCCAAAGTTGCAGCCTCTGCTGGCTTTGGCTCCACTACAGCTCCTTTGCCAGAACGTGCCAGGACCCTCGGGAAGGCGCTGCGCTCTCCTTATCTTCCATGGTTTAGGTCCTCAGGACACTCACAGTGCAGACTGAAGCTTAATTTTCATTTTGAGGGGATTTGCAACCATGTACCAACCTATGGCCTGTCGAGCAGAATCCACGTTGTATGTGATCTGGAATTCTGGTATGTGCTTGTGAACCTCCTGGGCCAGCTCCTCTGGGGTGAAGCTCATGGCGTTGATGTTGTAGGTCCTCATGGAGAGGGACTCTGCTGGGGCCTCCATGACCTCCAGGGTGGCCCTGAGGCAGTCATCAATGTACATCATCGGGAGCCTCGTGCTGGGTTTCAGGTTGCACTCAAATTTGCCATTCTTTACAGCATCGTGGAAAATCTGGACTGCATAGTCTGAAAGAGAATCCTGCCTGTGAGTCTTCTTATCGCAAAATGATGAACGAGCCTCTTGGATGAAGGCAGCGGTTCTCAAACGCCTTGGTCTGAGAACCTCTGTATGCTCTTAAACAACACTGAGGACCCCGGAGGGGTTCTACTCGTGTCAGTTGTGTCAATATTTACTATATCAGAAACTGAGAATTTTAAAAAATGTTACTGCGTTTTAAGATGATGATAATAAATCCATCACATATTTGTATGCATGATATTTTATATGAAAAAGAACATATTTTCCATACAAAAGAAAACTTAGTGAGAAGAATGGCATGTTTCACATTTTGAAAATCTCTTTACTGTCTGGCTTAACAGGGGGCAGCTGGAGTCTCCTGTGTGCTTCTGCATCCAGAAACACTCACCAGTTGTTCCTCCTCCAGGTTGGGAGTCAGCTGAAATGATTCCAGGATACCTCAGGCATCGGAAATCTAACCCATACCGGTAATGATAATACTACGGAAAAAGAAAACTTACTTTAAAAAGCATCTTTTAAATCAGAGCAGTGCCAAGAAATAACAGCTTTTTTTGGAGATATCATTCCATGCAATTAGATTAAAATATTCCTAAAGGAAATGAAGATGCTAGAATTTCTAAGTCACTCATTTTTCTTGAATAAATAATCCTTAAGTTTTTATCTTCAAAGAATCATCATTCTGGGGATACATTAACACGGTAAATAATCAGCCCACAGTAGCATTTCCAACATTTCTTTGGAAGGGAGTCACTGCTCGTTGTCCCAAACAATTGTCCAGGAGCACGATCCTCCAGTGCAGCACCGGAGAGAGTAAGGGGAGGATGGAGGGAGATGAGAGAGCAACGACTGTGATATGATGCATCAGCTGGAAGGATCAGACAGCAGCTAAAACATGCCAGCACTATAAAGACAAAGAGCATCAAAAAACGCAAACCAAAAAGTCATTCGACGTTTCCCATAATAAGAAATTTTAAAATTCCCTCCGATAGCTCCCAATATTGGGAGTGTGAAAGAATGGGCCAGTACAAATAAGATGGGCAGCAAATGAAGGAGGGGGTGCCATTTGGGGGGCCTCAGGAAGTGTTGAGTGTTATCATATGGCTGAGGAGTTCTTCTGGAGCTACCGGTCCTGCCACAGGGCAAACAACAAGTTTATGAGCATTTTGGGGGCTGGAATGAGGTGAAGGGGAAAGTCCCCTCCTAGGATGAATCAGCAGGTGTTTGACGAAGAAAGACCAGAAAAGGAAACAGTGAGTCAGCTTGCCAAGCAATGCTTACTTCTCCCATGAGCTCTGCGTGGACCTTGGACACCCCGTAGATAGTCCTGGGCCTCTGGACGCAGAGATCAGGGGTTGGGTCCCGGGGAGAAGTAGGTCCAAAGGCTCCGATCGTGCTGGGCACAAACAGTCGCAAACCGTGTTCCACTGCAACGTCTAGAACATTGTGCAATCCTGAAACAAACAGACCTCATCACAACCCGAAAAGTCTCTTACTGGAAAAACTGGCGCACAGAGCATTCTGGGCAAGATCCAGAGACCCACCAGTGATGTTTACGGCTTTGGCCAAGGAAACGTTCGCTTCCCCAACCGCACTGAGCAAAGCGCTGTAATGAAACAGCCAGGTGATGCCGTTGTTCACCACAATCTCCCGGAGATTCTTGTAATCCAGAATGTCCGAATAAATACACGGGCCTGCGAGAAACACGGTGAAAGCACAGAAGTGAAAGTGTTCGAGCAGTGAAACGCTAAAGGGACCTTCCCCTGTCCCCGAGTGACTTGTGAATTCCATCATATCAACTTGGAAACTAAACCATTTGGACACTATGCAGCATTTTTCTTATGGAAGAATAACAAACCCCAACCACCCCCACAGCTGATGCCTATATAGGACTTACACTTGCCAGGCACTGTCCTCTGGGCTAGCTGTATATTTAGCTCTCATACAGCCTTGGAGGCAGAGACATTTTACTGCACAGAGAGGTTAAGTAAGCTGCCAGGATCAAACAGAGAACAGTGGAAGAAGTGGGGTCACAACCAGGCAGCTGCCTGCAGGGTCGATGCTGTTAATGTCACTACATGCACCCAGTGATTTCACTCTGCTTAAAAGTTGCATATTTTAAAAGGAATAGAGAAGTGGGTTTTTAAAAAAGCCCCACAGCTTGGTATAGAAGAACCACAAAACATGAGTTCATCACACTCGGCTAGGCTGGAGGTAGAGCCGACGTTGCTCGATGCCAATTTTCCCTCTTAGAGCAAAGTACTGCTCTTCCCCACAGTGAGCAGCAAAAGGCTAACACTGAAGGCAGGAAGGCCCAGGAGACATTATAAAAACGTTTTTGAGGTAGAAGGAAACTCGACTAGAGGAGTTGGAGATTTGTGTGTGTGTGTGTGTGCGTGTGCACAACAGTTTAAGTGCAAGTCTGCACTGAAATATGAGGATTAATTTCTCCAAATTTTTAAAGCACCTTTTCCTCCACAAAACTTGATTTTCATTTGGAGCAAGCCAACAAGTGAACTAAAAACTCCAAAATACCGGAATCAAAGGTTTTATCCCAAAGAGACTACTCCAAATAATGTTCAAGGACATTATTCCAAAACTTTAAGTTCAGAAGAACTCGCCTGTTCTCGTGACATCAGAACAAGCAGCAGCATTACTGCAGACATTCTGCAGAACTACCGAGGACAGAAATATGAAATATCTCTAAGTGACACAACGGTGCCTCAATAACTCCTTCCTGTAATTCACAAGCCTGGTTATGAGCTGTCGCACATATTGATTCCATGAGCTGCCTCTCCAATTACACTTTGAAAGTTAAAGATAAAAATACAAGAAGTCATATCGCTCTCTTACCACTCTGAAAGATGTGATCGGGGGGTTTCCTTATGTCGGACAAAATCACATTGTCCTTCCCAAATCGTTTTCTAAAGGGAAAATCAAAACACAGGAGTTGGTACATCTAGGATAGAAAATGTGTGAAAATACCCTTTCAAATACAAACTGTAATTTCCCGTCAGCCTCTGAATCCCTCTTTTTCACACCTTTCCTCTCTCTTCTTCCCAAACACACACACTATTCTCAGGCCTCCCGCTTGCTACTCACGGCCCCACCTTCTGTTTCTCTTCCACCCCCTAGCATCCCCATATTTATCACCAATTTCTTCCCAGGACCCTTATGTTTTTACATCTCCCTCCTCATTCTTCTCTTCTCTCTTCTTATCCTTTTATCCTGCTCTCTCCAAATCCCACACTGTTGCCTTTCAGTTTCTAGCTGTACTTCCCTCTGCCCCCAAACATCTAAAAACTCGAGTGAGTCATTTGGAGTGACGTGTTTTCTTTCACGTAACTTAGAAAAGAGAGAGGGCGAAGGGCCCGTGTGGGAGATGCTGAGTCAAAGAGCTGCGACAATGTCTATGCTATTAAGAGGCAAATGAAATGTATTCTAGACAGACACTTAGATACAATATCTTAAAAATCGTAAGGGGCAAGAGGGGAGAGAAAACATTAAATGGTATAAATGGTGCCAAAGGCAAGCTTCACAATCTGAAGAATTCAGATTTTATATTTCAACTTTTAGCGCTCTTACCTCAAAAAGTTGGCAAGTCCCACTCCAAGCTGGCCAAGACCCCCTAGATGAAGAAGGAAAAAGGGAAACTTTAATCCAAATCTAACCAACTCAATTATTCCCAGAATGTAATAATGGAATAAGACCATATTGACAGTCTGAGCTAATTAGGGAAAGCCCCAGGTCAGCCTGATGGAACTGAATTACCTCCTCCGAGCCAGGATAGAGATCAATGCAGGTGACACTAATTTCAGAGACAGCGCTCTCTCCAGCATGGAGTGGCTGAGGGGATGCAAGGGAGGAGGGAGAGAAAAATCACAAGAAAGCTGGACAACCTCCTGACTCCTTGGGCCAGGAATTCACTCTCAGCTCTGCCTCTGTTATATGATAGGCTCTGAAGCTGCCAAAACACCCAAAGCCAAATGTAATAGTTTGATATCAACCTCTGGTGGGATCATCCAGAACTCCATCCTCCATTAGAACTGGAATGGGATATGAAAGGAGAAAGAGGAGGGACAAACCAAGAATCCATCTGAGAAAAGGGCTGATAACTGAATCGATAAGGAGCCACTAAGAAAATTTAAAACGAACATTAGAGCTTCCTGATTTGGAGGCTAAAAAATGCTATTGATAGGGGCCGGCCTGGTGGCATGGTGGTTAAATTCATATGCTCTGCTTTGGCAGCCCAGGGTCGCAGGTTTGGATCCTGTGTGTGGACCCACACACTGCTCATCAAGCCACACTGTGGCAGCGACCCATATACAAAGTGGAGGAAGACTGGCACAGATGTTAGCTTGGGGACAATCTTCCCCACCAAAAAAAAAAAAAAAGCCATTGATAGAAATGGGAGAGCTGGGGGGCTGGGAGCATACTTGGGGGAATGCAACCATAAATTTCATTTGGGGAAATTAATGAGGTAGGAAGATACAGAAAGTGGGATTTCCTGTAAGCATCTGTTAACATGGGACTAAAACCATGCCCACTGAGATTCTAACATTGGGCCCTGGAAGATGCTTCATGAGTGGAGGTTGGGGGGAATAAAACCACACACAGACAACGAGCTGCGTGATCGGGGAGAAAGTGCAGAGGGAAACCAACCACACTTGAAACCCACTTCTAGCAGGAGAAGAGGAGGAGGCAGTGAAAGAAAGGTACACACACACAAACTGTCAGGAATGGAAGGAGGATGCCGACGGGAAACCAAGGGAAGAAAACCTGGCAAGAAGAAGAAGTAAATAAAACGTGTCAATCAAATCACAGATGGCTTGGGTTGGCTCGAAGTACATGCAGAGGAACAGAGAAGTTTGCAGAGAGGAGGGTACAGAATCAGGTGCGGGGTGTACACAAGGTGAGAAGGATGAGGGAGCAAGTCTGGGGACAATGAGCTCGACACCAACACGAGATGATGGCGATGAACTCGTCGGGGCAGGCCCCAATGCATCTTCTCTGCCTCCAACACACCAACATGCAATAACTGCTTGTGATGAACGACACCGAGTTAGGTTGAGGAGTTTGGCCAAGAAAAGATGTGTCTGGTTCCAGAATCCAAGCTCTCATCCCTGCACACCCTCTCCACGAGCCTTCGCTCCCCGGCGGCCCTAACAGGGAAGGCCAACTGAGTTCCATGGAGGCTTTTTGGCCCCCACGTTCCTAGGTCCTCCCTTCAGATGACAAAAAATTATGTCAGGGAAACCAAGTGCTAGCAAAAGTGACGAAATAAGGATTTGGGACTTGCAATATTCTGGAGGAAGCCAATAGTGGAAAAGGTAGTTTCTGATTAATAAATGTTAGCTGGTGTCATGTTAGACATTCCAAAAAGATACACAACCACACAGAGGCTGCACAGAAACGAAAATAATCAAGCCCTAAACGTGGAAAAAAGGAAAAAACCCAACCTGTAATTAAGACGCGTGGCCGGTCTGTTTCAGAGAAAGAGGCAGAGTGGAAGTTGGCATTGGCTGGAATTTGCCAAGGGGAGGCGCCCAGAGACCGGGCGGGCAGGGCAGACGTCCGACAGCCACAGGCTGGGCCCAGCAGCAGCTGGCCCACGACGTGCTGCAGCATCCTAACAGCCGGCATTTTCTCCTCAAATTCCCTGTAATAAAAGAGGAGCAGTGTTCATTATGTAATCTTTTATTCTCCCAATCCCCCAAACCATACACTCTCTAACCAAAAGTAACACTAAGATTGGTAGCTCATGAGCAAAGCCATGTTTTGGATTCATGAACTGAACAAGTGACTGCTGAGTGCATGGATAGGCAGCTACGGCGGGCTGGGCCGGGCCCTGTGAAAGCAGATCAAATGTCGCTCATGCAACGTGCAGGCGAACAAAGGTCAGAGGGAGATTTAGGGTCGGATTCGCACAGTGTTGACATCAACCAGATCTAACGTCACAGCGAAGGTCACTGCATACAGAGCCAGAAACACCACATCAACAGATGCTCGCGAAGACTGCACATCTTTACAACTGTCATCAATCTGTCCACGCACCATCGGAGGGCACCAACAGGTCCCAGGTTAAATAACGTAGTGCCCTGTAAATCTTGTGTTAACACTCAGATGTTTAGAATGAACCAGACTAGAAAAAAGGGCCCCCCAGCAATATTTAGTAAGCTGTGACTAATTTGTTTTATTGCCATCTCTTTAGCAAGGATCATTTAGAAAAGTCATTTCTCCTTTCTTCCCAGATCACGTATATTTTGTTTTCGCCTCGCCCCTCTTCCTTCCTTACTGGCTGACAGACCATGAAATCAGTTCTGGCCTCAAGAGGTCAAGATGGTCCAATTGCATATGGCTTGAAACTGGACACACACGCAGGGCCTCCATTTTCCCCATTCCATCCCTAAGACCCAGGCAAGCATGTCGCAACAGTCAATCAGAGCTGCCCAGCTTGCTCTGCTGGTTCTAACAGCAAACATCCCGCCATCTAAAGTCAGGCCTATCGACTGCACACAGCTCGTAGCTTCCACCTTCGTCAGTTGTTAAATTTCCAACAGAACTGGCGGATGAACCTTCAGACTCTGGTGCCCCACTCCCTCACAAAGAGATAATCAGATCTCAACCATCTTATATTTTGCATCATCAAAGGAGAAAAGGTACGCCACAGTTGAAGACCTCTCCAGTTTAAGATCTGCACTTCGCCTGTCATACTCAACTCAGTGCCTTGAGCAGATAATAATAATTCTAAGTTAAAATGCCAGAGGTGCAGGAACTTTCCTACAATCCCTAAAGTCCAGATTAAGGAAAAGACAATTTTCGGAAAATATATGCTTTAACACTGTTTGATGAGCCATGGCAGTTTTGTTCTTTAGGACATAGAAATAAGGTGGGTGGAGCCCCCATGGCCTCTGTTGGGTCAGTGGCTTGGCCCACCAGGTCCACAGCATCAGGCACAGCCCTACAAAGCTCCGGAGGCCCCGTATCCTGGCTAACTTTCCCCAACAAGCAGAAGAGAGCCCTGGGCTGGCGCATCTCTGGCTTCGGGTTCAGGGTTAGGACTGGAAGGGGGCGTCCAGGGTGGGCTACGTTACAGGAAAGCCCCGAGCTTTTCGTCAAGTATCCCTCAGAGGAACTATGGGGAAATCATCCTTGCAGTCATTGTCGACACCTGAGACCAGGTATGAACTCTGATTCTCAAAGTCACTTATTTCAGCAAGTTCAGGGAGATGGTGAGGAAGCCAAGAAGCAGCGAGATTTACCAGAATATCTGAAACTCATAGACAATTCTCAATTCCCAAAAGCAAAATAATAGATGGGCACTGTTGAAAAAATAACTTTTTCTGTTAAAGGTTGATGGGACTGGAGTCAGGGAAAAGGCAAACCCTGAAGACAGGAAATAGATACAGCTCATCTTCTCTTCCCCCAAAAGGGGAAGGCACGAAGGGGACACAAATTCTTAATTGAATTAAAGCGTTTTAGTGTAACAGTGTTGACAGTTCATAACTGAGTTGGTTCTTCTTATGTCACTACTATTAACAGCTAACATTTGACGCTCACCACATGCCACAGGCCAGTGAGTACTACCAAACTTAACCATGGCCACCACCCCTCTGAACCCAGTTCTTTCTTTTTTTCTTGTTGAGGAATATTGTCCCTGAGCTAATATCTGTACCTGTCTCCCTCTATTTTATATGTGGGGTGCTGCCACAGCTTGAGGAGCAGTGTTTAGGTCTGTGCCCAGGATCCGAGCCCGTGAGCCCCAGGATGCCGAAGCAGAGGGCACAAACTTAACCAATAGGCTACTGGACCAGCCCTGACCCCAGTTCTTAACCACCAAACAGCACTATTGTCCCCATTACAGGATTGCTTTGATTAACAATGCACAGACAAAAACAAAACAAAATTCTCCAGGGGCTGCCCGCTTAGGCAGCCCAGGTTCGTGGGTTTGGATCCTGGGCACGGACCTGCTCTACTCATCAGCCATGTTGTGGCAGTGACCCACATACAAAATAGCAGAAGACTGGCACCGATGTTAGCTCAGGGCTAATTTTCCTCAAGCAAAAAAAGAGGAAGACTGCAACGGATGTTAGCTCAGGGTGAATCTTCCTTGCCCACCCCCCCCCCCCCAAAAAAAGTACACTTCTACTGCTAAGATACTAACTCAGTCTTCATATTTGCAGCTAAATGTTTAATTTGACAACTTTCTGTATTATTAGAAGGTGGCAGTGCCATGATTTCTTCCAATGCTTTTTCATCTGAAAAAGCTCTATTGTGTGTTTCTCCAGCCACTGCAGTTTGATAACTTATCCTGTTAGATGCTTCAATAGCTCGTCCATTTTTGGTTTGAAAAGCTGGAACAAATAATTTTTGGCTTTTAAAGAGTTCATCATATCTTCATTTAAGACATTCACTTCATTTTTCTGAAATGACTCTAAATGGTTGGTCCCAGAATAATGCCTCTGGTCCCATAATATTATTCAAAAAACTTCTGTAGCATAAGACACATAAGAGAAATTTCTAACATCTGTAAAGCTGAAGAAAGCTTTCATATTTTTAGGTTTTACTTAGTTTTGCCCGTTTCTTTGGAATAAATTCCTCTCTTCTGTTAAAAAACAAAATTCAACCGAGAAAATTTGAAGATCTAATTGGCTTTATTCAATGATTCATGAATGGGGCAGCATCCCATACAGCCAACAGAAAGGGGCTCTGAGGAGCTGTACAAAACGGAAGACTTTTATAGGCAGAATGGGGAGAAAAAAGGAAGATTCTAGCAAAGAGTGGATTGTTTCGGGCAAGGTCGCCCTTCTTTGGGGAAAGGCGGTGGTCCATCACGCAGATGACCCCTTTGGGGCTGACCAGGTAATTCCAGACTGACTGGTTAAAGGCCACATTCCTGGGAGAGGCTGAAAATGCAGTTGGGTTAGGTGTGCTGACATGGGGCTTAGCCCAAGTGACTCCATTTGGGGCCTGCTGTTTCTTTTTTAACATTTCCATGAGTCAGGGAACTCTGATATGTCATTTCATTTTTTTCAGCATTTATAAACACGTATGGTGTAGCTTTCAGTAAAAAAAAATCAAGTCTTCTAACATCCCCCTTTTAAAATTATAATCTATCCCTAAATATAAAAAATATAAAAATTAATATCCTTTTATTTTACAATAAAACATTACATTGGAAAGAATTTTTATACTATTTAAAAATTTAGGAAAGTTTTCAAATCAAGACTACAAAGTATACTTACTTTTTGTTGTTTTTCCATAACAGCAGAAGAACAACTTTGGGATTTCAAAGTAATGATTTATTAAAAGAAAATGAGGTCACAGAGATGATAACAGATATAACCGAAGGGGGCTAGTAAGTGCACAGAAGTACTAAGAACAAACTGAGCTCATCTCTGAAAAGGCACATATTTATACTCTAAGCCTACAACTCTTAGAAGATTCCAGAAACACAAGAATACACAAGCACACATTTCACTAGCCATCGGAGGAAAAGCTCATCGTAAGTCATGTAGCCTCTGGAAAACTCCACCAGACACTTGTGAGAGAAAAAATGAAAAGGGCAAATAGTATCTTCGTATTATTTAAAAATTGTTTTGACCTCACGGACCCTCAAAAAGGGCTCAGGGGAACCCAAGGGTTCCCCAGATCACACTTTGAGAACAGCTGTTCTAAAGTAACACTTGCTTTGCCAAGCCAGTGTAAATTTATATAGGGAAACCGTCAAAGAAGATTCTTAGTCCTCCTTCTTAAAGGTCGGATGAGAGGCCATTGACTTTCCCTCCCAAGCCCCTTGTTTCCTTTAACTACATGGCATGAAAAAGCAACAGGTCAGCAGACTTTCCTCCATAAATAACCGAGCACCTCCCCAACCCAGGCCTCTCTAGGTGGTTATGATACAACCTCTGCCACCTGCCGGCGTTATCTTATCTGCATTAACCACAGCAGAGCTCTGAGGCAGCAGGGGCTTCATGAAGTGGGTGGGGGTGATAAAGAGACAGAGCCAGAGCTCAGCTGGCTTTAGAGATTGTTTGGCTGTGGGGGGATGGTAAAGGGCTCAGGAGAACAATACCGAGATCTCTCACTTGGGCTACTGCAAGAATGGTCTTCCGGGGGAAGAGGTCAGGTGAGAAGACGAATGAGCTGGGTTTTGGTCGTGTAGGTTTAGGTCCCAGGAGACAATATGACTGCATCTCCCACAAAGCTGTGAGGTCCACTGAGCAGCTCCTAGCAGCGCCCCATACATCTCAGTACTCACCAAACATGGCGTCGAACAGGCAGACAGGAAGGAGAAACCAAGACATGTCAGAGGGTTGCCCACACCACAACAAAAAGAGGGCCCCTGTTCTCAGAAAAAATTACTTGAGTTTCTTGGGGGAAAAAACTTAATTCAATCATGATTGCTCTGAAGGTAGATAATTCTATTTCAGGAATACTAGAAGCAATTCCAATTTGAAGACCAACAAAACAGGCCTTTCTCCTGAGAATACACCATCAATTTCCCTTAATGTTCTTGCTGTCTTCCCATCTCCCCAAATTTCCAGCTGTAACCATTCTCAGCCTTGGAGATAGTAAATAAGGATGTATGAAATAATGTCTCAGGCATATTAAGCATGAAGTTAAAAATATCCAGAGCCCAACAGATGAACAGATTTTAAAATTTGCTATATGTACAATGGACTATTATTCAGCCTTGAAAAAGGAGATCCTGTCACAGGGTACAACAAGGATGAACCTCATGGACAATATGCAAGTGAAATATGCCAGTCACAAAAGGCCAAATACAGTATGATTCCATTCATGAGTTATATGAGTTATGTAAACATATCAAAATCATAGAAACAGGAAGTAGAAAGGTAGTTGCCAAGGGGTAGGAGAAAGGGTAGGCGATGTTAGTGTTTGTTTAAGAGCCACAGAGTTTCAGTTTTGCAAGATGAAAAAGTTCTAGAGATCTGTTGTACGACACTGTGGATATACTTACCACTGCTGAACTATACACTTAAAAATGGTCAATTTTATGTTATGTGATTGAAACCACAATTTAAAATTAAAAAAATATCTATCTTGCTCCGAGAAATGGTCTGTGCATCCATATATTGCTGAGGAGCTGGAATCTAGGATTCTCCCAATGGAGATCCATGCTGCCCCCAGACACCTTTCCATTCAATTTGGTGCCTACTGAACCCCAGTTCCGTCCAAACCGCTAACCCTTGTGCCAATGAACCCCCTAAGTGGTTCTTTTCCCTCTGCTTATAGACCTGCTGAAGCCTACTGTTCTCTTACTGCCTTCACCTTTCCTTCCAGTCTCAGGGTCTCCAGTGTCCCTGCTGCCCCAAACCTTCGTTCCTCACCCCTCAGAGTGGGTTTTTTGCTCTGCGCTCAATGAAACGCTTTCACAAAAGCTCAGCCATTGCTGTTGACAACTTCCTGGGCCTGGCACCCTCTCCCACTGCTAAAGGACACTGCCGACCACACCCACCTTCACTTGCCCCTGGGTCTCCCACCTCTTATTCTGCCTTAAGGACCAAGAGAGCTTCTAAGACACATTTGAAAGGCAGTCAGCTTTAAATCCTCCAGTTCATTAAAATATAATAATAAATGTGTCCTCTTAATAGTAACGATCCAGGGAAAAATCAGGCACCTCATAACTACCGAGCGTTGACAAGCACCTGCTCTCCTGAACGCTTATTTAACCCTCACAGTAATCCTGAAGCTGGGATCTTCTCTCCCGTTTGCAGGATGAATTGACCCGCCCAAGGTCAGGCAGAGACTAATTACGAAGAAAAGGGGGGAGGAAACCAGGTCCGTCGATCTCAAACCCTCCTTCCACCACCTCCACTCTTCTCCCTCAAGAAAGGTGACATGATCAGGTACCTAAGGGAGAAGACCAATAGGAAACACGCCCGTGGTCGCGCAGGGGGCACCTCTCCGGCTCCCTCTCCTCCAGCGCGGCCGCCCTTCCTCGACCCTCCCCAGGAGGAGAGCACTGGACGAGCCTGGAGGGGAGGGGTGCAAGGCCAGACACCACCAATCCCTCGCTGTGTGAGCCGGCATACACTACCTTGCCAAACCTCAAGTTTTCTCATGCTTACAAAGGAGACGATGATAGGACCATCACATTAGACTGTCGAGAGGATTTAACTAAAGCAATCTGTGAGAAGTGCTTAGCAAGCTGCTCAATGTAAAGACTCCATCAACTAGCCGGGAAAGTCTAGACTTAACGTGGAGATGATCCAAAAGTCTGAATGGGTGGAGGGAAAAAAATTCTGGCGCCCTAAGCGTGAGCTACAGAGGGTCTCAGAGGGAGGTCTGGCTCTGCGGAGCGGGCATCCCCTTCCTTCCTCTGGTGCACACTAGCCCAGGAGAGGAAACCCAAGAGACGCGGGCGACTCGAGCTGCACAGGGGTCTCCAGCCTCAGCCTGGCTCCTTGTGGAAAGAGTGTGAGGTCTCACCCTCGGCGGGAAATGACTGGATAAACGGGTTTTATAAGAACAGCCGCGCCTATCCCTACTCCCTATCTCCCTATCGGAGAGGGGTGGGGAGGACGCCCTTCCGAAAAGTAACCGGGCCCGGTGTCGGGTCCTGCCGACCCCAGCAGCGCCCCGGCCCTCCTCCGGTCCCCGCGCTGACCTCCCAGCTCCGCGGTGACTACTGGGGACCTGAGAGCGCAGAATCAGCGGTGCCAGGCCGGGGTCACACTGATCCGGCCAGGGTCCCCGCGGGGTCGGCCTCCGTTCCCAAAGGGGGCTCAGCTCCCCAGGACAGCCGCCGGGGGAACGTCCATCCACCTCCGCACTTACCTTCCGACGCAGCAGCCCAGAGATGCTGCGCTGCGGCGCCGAGCCGGAGGAGCACGTGGCGGGAGCCGGAGCGCGTTGAGCCGAAACCCAGATGGTGCCGGACGCGCGGGGCTCTTATCCTCTCCAGCCCCAAACCCGCCCCTTGACGCACCAATCCCCTTCTTTGGCCGGGGCCGGCCAGGCGTCAGCACCAGGTCACCGGAGGGGGGAGGGCGCCGGTTGCCATGGCAACCCTCTCCCCGCGGGCCTGGGCCGCGTCCAGGGCAGAGCGCACCCCTCTCGCCGGCCTGTGCCTGGGGCCGACGGGGTGGAGAACCGGGGACCCGGAGCGGCGCGTTAGAGTCCCTGGCGCGCAGCGTCCCGGCTGCGGCGGTGCCAGCTGCCCATCTTCGCGTGCGCTCAGCACTAAGGGCTGCTCTGCAAGGGCCTCCACTAAAAGGAAGTCGGCCCCTCTGGACCTCCAGAGAACCGGCTCATGCTGGCGTTCAGCGGCGCCGCAATGGACGTGGGAAACAATGCGGCACGCGGAAGAGAAAGCTGGAAAAATTGGCTGAGGACATAGCCCAGACCGGGAGTTAGGAGATCTGATATGCAGAGACCTCCAGGAGTCACTTCATGACCTCCAAGGCCACCGACCAGCAGAGTCAGTATCACCTGGGAGCTTGTTAGAAAAGATTTGTATGAGTTCTTTATATATTTCGGATATTAACCCCATATCAGATATATGATTTGCAAATATTGTCTCTCAATTGATAGGTTGTCTTTTTATTTTGTTGATGGTTTCCTGCACTGTGCAGAGGCTTTTTAGTTTGATGTAGTCTAATTTGTTTATTTTTTTGTTTCCCTTGCCTGGTGAGAAAGGTTATTCAAAAAGATGCTGCTAAGACCGATGTCAAAGAGCATATTGCGTAAGTTTTCTTCTAGAATTTTTATGGTTTCAGGTTTTACATTCAAGTCTTTAATCCATTTTGAGTTAATTTTTGTGTATGGTGGCAAGTAACAGTCTACTTTCATTCTTTTGCATGTGGCTGTGCAGTTTTCCCAACACCATTTATTGGAGAGACTGTCCTTTCTCTATTGTATGTTCTGGCAGTCACTATAGAGAACAATATGGAGAGTCCTCAAAAAATTAGCAATAGGACTACCATTTAATCCAGCTAGTCCATTTCTGGGTATTTGTCCAAAGAATACGAAAACGCCAATGTGTAAAGGTATTTGCACCCTGTGGTCATTGCAGCATTATTTGCAATAGCCAAGACGCAGAAACAATCTAAAGGCCCATCAATGGATGAATGTGATGGGGTTCAAGGCAGGCCACCCTCTGATATGCCACTCTGATATGCGGATTATTTCAAGCTAAAGACAACAGAGGCTCAGAAGACTCTGGAAGAACGTTTGGCCACCCTCCTCCCTCCTCCCCCCCCCCCCTCCCCCCCCCCCCCCGCAATTGCCTAGAAGAATTTAAGATAGAAGGACCTATAAGATATAGTTACCAGAAGATAACTATAGTATAGTGTAAAATAGGTGTGATAAGAAAGGCACCAACAAGCCCATTTTATCACACTTCTGCCTCTCAGGCCACATTCTCTACAGGTGGCTCAGCAAACAATTGTCTAACAAATGTGCTTTTCCATCTCCATGTGAATTGCCTTCCTCCCCTCTGAAGTCCCAACCCACTACCCCCAACATTCTCCTTTGTCTTTAGCTGAAGATGGTATTTAAGATGGTGACTTTGGCCATTGTGGCAAGTTGCTCAGTTTCCTTGGGTTTCTCACATGTATACATGCTATTAAAGTTTGTTCTGTTTTCTCCTACTAACCTGCCTTATGTTATTTAGTTATTTGACCATCCCTAAGAAGCTTAGGGAAAAGGGGAGGAGAATTCTCCCTTTTCCAGTGTAAATGGATAAAGAAGATGTGGTATAAATACACAATGGAATACCACTCAGCCATAAAAAAAAGGTGACATCTTTACATTTATGACAACATGGATGGACCTTGAGGTTATTACGCTAAGTGAAATAAGTCAGATGGAGAAAGTCAAATACCACATGATTTCACTTGTAAGTAGATGAGAAAAACAGCAAATAAACATATAGGTACAGAGATTAGATTGATGGTTACCAGAGGAGAAGGGGGCAGGGAGGAAAGAGAAAGGGGTGACAGGGCACATGTGGGTGGTGATGGATGGTAATTAGTCTTTGGGTGGTGAACATGATGTAATCTACACAGAAATTGAAATATGATGATGAACACTTGAAATTTATATAATGTTATAAACCAATGTTTCCTCAATTAAAAAAAAAAACAAAGGAGGAAAAGAAAGGCAGATTTGAGGCAGCGCCCCAGACCTGCTGAGTCAGAATCTCTGGGGGTGGGGCCTAGAGAGCTGTGGTTTAACAAGCCCTTGCGGGAGGATCGCTAGTTAGAAAAGGGCTGGTCTAGGACAGTGCTTCCCAGTCTTTGCCGAATATTAGAATCACTGGGGAGTTTTTGAGCCTCCCAATGCCCAAGACCAAATGAATCAATCTCCTTGGGGGACTGGGGCGGGAGGGGAGCCCAGGCGTAAGTACTGTATTTTTTTAAAGTTCTTCAAGCGATTCCGGTGTACTGTCAAGGCTGAGAACCGCCCATCTCCCCTAGAGGCTTGGTACTCAAAGTGTGGTCCCTGGACGAGGCAGCCCCCACCCAGATCTGCTGAATCACGGTCTACATTTCAACAAGGTACCCAGGTGATACTCTTGCACATTAGGGTTCTGGAAAACAGTTCTAAGGCCTTCTCTAATACTAAGAATCTGTGATTTTATGAAATAAGTCTAATTTTCTGTTTTACAGGCTCTTAGAAGGCCTCATTTCTTCAACAATTTCTCATATGACATGATCCTTATCCTGGGCCTTCCCTTCCTCTGGGGCACTTGAATTTTGAAATCTTAATTACAGACTTTCAGCCTCTCAAGAGACCTTAGAGATCATCAAGGCCACTATATACCCACTTCACAGTGGAAGAGATGAAGCCCCACCCAGAGAGGTGAAGACTTCCACTCAAGACCAAGGGCGATGCCGGCTCAGCGAGTTGAGGAGTTGAAAGAAAGATTTCTTGCGCACTCAAGGTCTGGTAGTAGTGCTCTTTAATTCAGAGAATAGCATGGGGACAGGATCCACAGGCAGTGAAGGGCTGTAATGTGTTGAGGGTTAGGGCTACATTTATAAGGCGTGGGTACATGACTTATTTTTACGAGACAAAGGGAAAGATGATGTAAAAAGTCATTAAATGGTATCAGTGCAGGTGGGGTCTGGTTACTGTGTGGTCGTATAACTTTAGATATGAATCAGGTCATGTAGATCGGCATGTAGGCCAGGACGCCTTGGGCTTCTCTCCCTGGGGCAGCCTTGATCCACATCAAGGGGACCAGAATGCTGATCCAGGTGACACCACGTCATGTCATGAGGAGTTATTTTTTGTTTTCCTCAAACCTTGGGGTAGGTTGGAGGTGACACTGAGCTTGCTTTGAATGGGGTTACAGGCTGGGATGTTGCAGAATGGAGCAACCCCCTGATGTTGCTGCTGGTCTGGATGGGGAGGGGCGTGGGGGGAAAGCATGGCTTCAACCTTTGTTCCTGAAAACAGGGAAAGGAGAAGGGTTGATCTCTAAGGGACTAAAAGGAAGGTGGTTTCTGGCCACCTAGTGTGTATTTCCTCTCTCCCTTATGGAAACAGTGTGGTATGAATGTTATCAGTACCACCCCCCACCCGCCGCCCCGCCCCAGCATCCCTCAGCCAAGGGACGTATGCTCCCTCCGGCTTCGAATCTGGATCAGAGTCACTGAGAGGCTGAAGACAGCAGGTGCTGTCCCCACCAGCAGAGGCCCTCTGAGAAGGTCAGTCCTGCTTGGGGCCACTGTCTGTGGGCTTCCTGGCTCTGGGATCACCTTGGGGTGGGGGGTTCCCGTCTCTTTCCAGGCTGGTTCTCTAGCCTTCCCAATGAGTCTGTGTCTTCTTCATATCCTTTGGCTTAAGTCAGCAAAGTAGGTTTCTGTTACCTTAACTTACTGATAATAAAAAGACTTTCCCTCCATTTTCAGGGTTGAGGTTTTGGCTCTCAGATCACAAAGCCAAATAATAAAAAATAAAATAAATATCCCTTAGTCCATATTGAGATATATATATATATATAAGTGAATTAATGAATACGTAAATGAGGGAGAAGGGATAACTCTTTCTTACAGAGGAATTCTAAGTGATAAATGTGGAAGAATGAGAGAAATAGACATTCCCCATAAGAACACCCAGCAGTAATTGCTGCAGGCAAGATCCACAGACAGATGCTAAAGTTAGTGGGTGAACGCTTAAGGAGGTGCAGGATATTTGCATCATCTCAAGGTCTGTCTCCAAAAATAGATGTTTATTAATAACAAAGGGAAAAATAGTAACTTCACGCTGAAGAAAATTGGCAGTCACTACCTTCACCCCGTGACCAAGGTTTACACCATCAGAAACAAGACATGTTGATGTCACGTACCCCATGATGTGGCGCACTGGGAAGAGCGTATCAGACCTCTGTGGTCCTTCCCAGGACACATAACCTCAATGTAATCATGATAAAACATCAGACAATACAAACAGAGGAACATTTTACAAAATAACTGACTCTTTAAAAGTCTCAAAGTCATGAGACAGGAACTGTCAAAGATTAAAGGAGAATAAGGAGACGTGGTGGCTAAGTGTAAGGTGAGATCCTGCATTCGCTCCTGGAATAGGAAAAAACATTGGTGGAAGAACTGGTGAAACCCAGTGAAGTTTGAGTTTGGTTCATATTATTGTCTCAATGTTACTTCCTTAGTTTGGAGAGTCGTACTCTAGAGATATAAGATGTTAATATTGGGGGAAGCTGGGTGAACAGTATAAAGGAACCCTTTGTACTATTTTTGCTACTCTGTAAGTTTAAAATGATCTTAAAATAAAAAGGTTACTGCCTATATTTTCTTCTAGGTGTTTTATGGTTTCAGGTCTTACATTCAAGTATTTAATCCATTTTGAGTTAATTTCTGTGTGTTGTGTAAGATAATGGGCTACTTTCATTCTCTTGCATGTGGCTGTTCAGTTTCCCAACACCATTTACTGCAGAGACTTTCCTTTCTCCATTG